CTCGCCCCCCCCCCCCCCCCGCGGCCCCGGGCACAGTGCAGCCTGCCCCGCTGTCTGCCCTGCGGTAACAACTGAGGGATGCGCCACTGTTCCCATGGTGACCGTAAGCCCGGTGTGGCCTAGGCTTGGCGGACACCCAGCAGCAGGCGGGACTTTCCTATGGAGGGGGACAGGGTGGCATTCCTCCTCCTGTAGCTCCGCAGCCCATGAGAGGGCATAAGTTTGCTTTCTTACACTCCCTGTCCCTGCGCCCTCTGAGCTGGAAGCTAGTACTGCAGCCTCGCAGCTGTGTGGGCTCCCTGCTGCATGGGGGAGGGGCCTGAGCTTGAGCCGTGGACCACCAGGAAGGCAGCCGCAGACCACTAGTGGTCCGTGGACTGCACTTTGAGAAACATTGCTCTAGCTGTATATTATGCCTGGTCACAAAGTGCAGCCTCCTCAACATGGTTGCCAGGAGGTTAATAAATAACTGCACTTCATGGGAGGATTGCTATGAAAACTGCCCATTGCTGCTTACCTTGAATTTCTTCCGAAATTCCTTGTCTGCCTGCTCTTCTTTTTTTAACTGTTTGAGATTCTTCACTCTTTTCCCCCTTAGCTCTGACATCTGGGATTGTCTGCAGAGCCAGGAAAAGTCACAATGATCTTCCAGAATGTACAGTTCACCTTCAATCATCTAAGGCAATAACATTGCATCACTTCCATGGCTAGGGATGACACACTATGGCCCTGAGTTGCCATCCGTCCAGGACTTTGGGGATTCAAATTTGTAGGCCAAATTTTTCACTTGGTTCTGTGTCAGCTTTACATTAGTGAAATGGAATTCCAAATCAGTGCCTTTCTGTTTAAAAACATCATGGCTGCGTCTAGATTGGCATGATTTTCCGGAAATGCTTTTAACGGAAAAGTTTTCCGTTAAAAGCATTTTCAGAACAGAGCATCTAGATTGGCACGGACGCTTGTCCGCAAAAAAGACCCAATCGCCATTTTTGCGATCGGGGCTTTTTTGCGGAAAACAAATCTGAGCTGTCTACACTGGCCCTTTGGCGCAAAAGCTTTGCACAAAAGGGACTTTTGCCCGAACGGGAGCAGCATAGTATTTCCACAAGAAGCACTGATTTCTTACAGTAGGAAGTCAGTGCTTTTGCGGAAATTCAAGCGGCCAGTGTCGACAGCTGGAAAGCTTTTTCGAAAAAGCGGCTGATTTTCTGGAAAAACTGGCCAGTCTAGACACAGCCCAGGTGTGATGGGCGAGGTCACAGATGGGGGTGCCTCCTGAAGTGTTGACAAAGCCACTGCCACCCTCCTTTTTGCTCTCTGGGGCTTTTTGCTGCCCTGTCCTTTTGGGCCAGCTCCCTGGTCTCCCCCCAGCCAATGCACAGGGCTGAGTATAACCCCCTCACCCTCAGTCTGAGAAGCAAAGCAGACACTGAATCTTTTCAGGTCTAAGGAAAATGCAGTTTAGGTCCCAGCTTCCTGGGATACCACTCCCCAAATCAGATCAAAATCCCAAATGAACTATATAGATAAGCCCCCTTTAACAATGAAAGGGGGAATGTACACACTGATGGGTCCTCCAGGCAGTGCTTTTTTGTGAAGGGAAGGGGGAAAAAAAGGTATCAGTACTCCAGGGGGAAAGTTGAGCAAAAAAAAAAAAAAGACAGGGTGGGGCCGGCATTGCCCTTTTAAGAGACAATGCCCCTTTAAAACACATGGCCCCTTTAAGACACAGAGGTGCCGGTATGTAGTACCATCACAAAAAAAGCACTGCCTCCAGGTACTAATTATTTACACTGGGTTTGTTAGAACATAAAAGTGATTTTTATTAAGTACAAGCAGTAGGATGTAAATGATAGTAAGTGAGAACAAGCCGGGCAAAGCAGATTACAAACTCAACGTAATAGAAAATGCTTAGCTACTTCTACACTAAAACATCAGTATAAACTTATTACAAACTAAAATTTTCTTTCTGGGCCAAACCTTCCAAACCAGGGAAGTCTCCTTTTCCCTGGGATCTCTCGCTCCACTATTTGATCTGAGGAAGTGGGTCTGGCCCACGAAAGCTCATCATCTAATAAACCATCTTGTTAGTCTTTAAAGTGCTACATTGTCCTGCATTTTGCTTCCCTCCCTTGGATGTGCCACAAGAGCCAGACAAAGACTCACACTTTCCTACTGTATTTAAAGATACCCTTTCTGCATGGGAAGTCACCTGGCCAGTTGGGGTGGGCATGTGACGTCCCCTGACCAACCACTTAAAGCATAAAAGAGATTGTTTAACAGTTGGTCATCAAGACATTGAGGGTAACGCCTGTGATGGCTTTCATTCACACATTTAAAAACCATAAAGCATTTCACACTCCCTGGGAAAAAGCCCTCTTGCCCAAATGCTTTTGTGCAAGAGGGCCAGTGTAGACAACTGAGAACCGTTTTGCACAAAAAAGCCCCGATGGCGAAAATGGCGATCGAGGCTTTCTCGCGCAAAACCGCGTCTAGATTGGCACGGACGCTTTTCCGCAAAAAGTGCTTTTGTACAAAAGCGTCTGTGCCAATCTAGATGCTTTTTTCCACAAATGCTTTGCAGAAAATCTTGCCAGTCTAGATGTAGCCCTGCTGCCGACAACTCATAGCCACATATTTCACTCCCTTATCAACATAAAGATCATAGCACTGTGGGCATGCATCCCACAGTGCTTTGCATCACCTTCATATGCTAAGCACAATAGGAACGTGCGACATAGCACTAGGCATGATGGGAACGTGAAAAAGTCCTGTCAGCCATGTTTTCTTTCCAGACATTCCTGGGAATTTCTGGATTGCATGCCAATTGGTGCAATCGCAGCAAGAAAGCATGCATCCCAGCTTTCTGGTCCTCATCATGAGCACTGTGCAGAAGACATCACACATTGCCGCATACCTAATTATGGACTTACTAGCGGATCACAACCATGACTACGAGGACTACATCTACGAGTACTTGTTAACGTCGGACTAGGATTGGGACTGTGATTCTGATTCCTATTCATTGGAGCACAATCCATTGTCCACTACTTCTGATGAATCTGATGAATTGATATGTAATTTTCTTATGACAGACCTGATATGCTCATCTGATTAATGTTTTGGGCTAGGAAATCAGTTCTGAGTAGTGGGATCAGATTGTCATGCAGGGGTGGGATGAAGATCAGTAGCTACAGAACTTTCAGGTGCATAAAGTGACTTTCCGGGAGCTGTGTGCTGAGCTGGCCCCTGCACTGCAGTGCAAGGACACCCAAATGAGAGCTGCTTTCCCTGTAGAGAAGCATGTGGCCATTATTTTGTGGAGCTGACCACTGCAGATTGTTACTGTGAAGTTCTGAATCACTTTGGAGAGGGCGAGTCTACTGACAGGACAATATTTATGCAAGTGTGCTATGCAGTAAATGACATTTTGCTGGACAGGACAGTGACTCTGGGACATTGTGGCTGGCTTTGCTGAAAAGGGCTTTCCTAACTGTGGCAGGGCAATAAATGGTACACACATCCCTATTATAATACCACTCCACCTTGCCTCAGAGTACCTCAGTCGTAAGGGTACTTCTCCATGGTGCTTCAGGTGCTTATGGATCATCATAGACATTTCACAGACATAAATGGTCTGGAAACATGCATCTTCAGGAACAGTGGCCTATACAGGAGGCTGCAGGCTGGCACTTTCTTTCCAGACCAGGAATTTGCAGTAGGGGATGTGGAAATGCCCACAGTGATTCTAGGTGATGCAGCCTACTCCTTGCAGCCCTGGTTCATGAACCTTACAAGAGGCACCTTGACAGCAATAAGGAGTGGTTCAACAACAGGCTAAGCTGCTGCGGAATGGTGGTTGAATGTGCCGTTGGGAGATTGAAGAGGAGCTGGAGGTATCTCTTGCTGCTGTTTGTTCTAAATTTACAAATAAACTTAAAATATGGCTTTAATTGGTATTTGTTATTTTTCTTTATGTAAGAATTAGAAGCACTGGTCCTGTCAATTAACTTCTAATTTATCACCCGCAAAATCCCAGGAATTTTCAGGTGCCTAAGTAATCTCTGGAATGGACTCAGGGTTAAAGCTGCTCCCCCTACCAATGTTCCCTCTAATCTTTTCCATCCATGTGTGGAATACATTTGTCTATGTGAATGTGCACCACCAATAGAAACACAAAGCTACCTGGGGTACTCTACTAATCTGCTGGGCAATATTTGAATCTCTCCTGAGTGGCCTCAAAAGCATACAGTTTACAGGGAACACTGCCCCCTGATAAAATAGGAAATGAAACCCCTAACTAAAGCTATTAGACAGTCACTTCCATCTTGATGCCTAGGACCTATCAGGCCATGCCTCACCAAGGGCCTGAAACCCTGACTGAGCTTGCAACCCCATGCGTGGGAGCTAGTCAGGAATATTTCAGCCAATTGGTGGAAAATTCAGTTTTGGGGGTAATTCAAATTTTTCAGTGGGAAATTTTCAGTTTTGCTGCATTCTTAATTTTCTGTAAGAAAAGGTTAAACAAAGTATTTCATTTCAGGCAGGGCAGAAACATTTGGGTTTGCTTAACTGAATAGAAATATTTCATTTTGAATCAATTCTATGCTCATCCTGTTTCCCTAGTCTATCACAGTGCCTTAGGTGAATTGCAGTTTGCATTTTCCCTTACACCAATATTGGTTGGGCTTCCCACCTGGACTACAACTCCCATGATGCACTATGGTGTTCTCTCTATTTAAATTGTGGCCTTGCGTCATGGGAGACATGTGGCCAGACTGTGTCATGGGAGATGTAGTCCACCCATGGAACTCAGACCAAATAGGTGAATATGTCCCAGGAGCCACACCAGCAGCTCAAGGAGACATAGATTAATATCAAACTGATCCAGAATGAAATATTTCAATTTGGTGCAACATACCAAAACCAAACACTTGTTTACACATTGTCAAAATAATCTGACATTTCTGAAAAATGTTTTAGAAAAGTTCATTGCCTGAACAATTTTGGCTTTTTGTCCCAAATCAGGAAGAAACCATAAGTAATATTGTGATTTTCTTGCAGGAAAAAAAATCTGATTTTTTACAAGTCTAATTATCTCTCCTCTCCCCCTAGGCTCCTCTAGCCTTAGCTTTATAGACTTCTTGAACTCCATACAAAAGGAAGCATTCACTGATCTATTCTAATCTCCTTTATATTATAGGCCTACAAATTTAATCCATATACCCTGGACTGAGGCCAAGGACTGGTGTTCATCTAAGGCATCTCCCAAAAAGGTAGCCAGCCTTGATCTGAAGACCTCAAGAGACAGAGAATACATATCCCTTGGGCAATTGTTCCAAGGGTTGATCACCCTGTTAAACATTTGGGCCTTGTTTCTAAATTGAATGTATCTGGCTTCTCCACTAGATTAAACAGCCTTTAGGCCCTGGCATTTTCTCCCCACAAAGATCAACTCACCTCGCTATCTTCTTTTTGACAGGCTAAACAGACTGAGCTCTGTCAGTCTCCACCACCAGGTATTGTGTCTGCCCACAAATCAGTTTCAGAGCTTTTCTGCACCCTCATTAAACTGTGGCCCCCAGAACTGGACGTAGTGTCCAGGATAATTTCACCAACACCATATGCAGAGGTAAAATCCTGTCTCTGTTCCTGCTCACCTCTCAGCTCACATTAGCTTTTTCTGCTGCCAGATCCCACTGGGACTTCATGTTGAGGTGCTTGTCCACTCAACCTCCTAATTCTGTGCTATATTGCTATCGAGGAGAGCTAATTCTTTAATCTGAATGGCATGTGGTACTAAGACAAATACCTTACAAAAGTCATCGCATCTTCCACGTGTAGTTACCTGTATCAACCAAACTTGTAAACTCCTCAGAGAACGTATCCAGATTTGTTTGCCAAAACCTGTTTGCCCCAGAACCATGTTGCCTGGCAGTACAGGTTCCGCCTCTGAAAAAACAGCACTTTCTGGTATGCCTGGACTGGAGAGCCTGGGATCCTAATGGCAGGAGGGCCAGAAGCCCAGACAGGGCTGGGGACAGTGGGATCCAGAGCCCCACAGCAATACTGGGGCCAGCGCCATAGAACCCTGGCAGCCCGTGGCTGTGGGAATCTTGGCTGCCCACAGCAGCATGGAGCCGAGGGCTGGAAAACTGGGCCAGCCCATTGCAGCACAGGACTGGTGGGCAAAGAAGCCCAGCAGCATGTGGCAGTGAGGGACCAAGAAACCTTAGCTGTTCGCACAATACAGGGCTGGAGAACCCTCCACCCACAACAGGGTGGAGCTGGGGTCTGGAGAGCCATAGCCACCCACAGCAGCACAGAGCCCAGGGCTGGAGAACCCTAGCCATCCGCAGCAACAGGAATCCAGGGGTTGGGGAAACCATTTCTGTCCACAGCAAGATGGAGCTGGGGGACAGGGCAGCACAACAGACAGACTGTGTGGGGAGGGAGCAGAGGCCAGCTGGCTCAGCGCAGGAGGCAGGGAACACCACCCTTGGTCCAGCAAACCATCAGTTGATCCCCATATCATGTTCCATTATTTTGCTCAGCCATTTGGCCCTTTTTGGATAGTAGCACAAGCATTGCTCTTCCTCATCAGCTGGAATTCTGGGTTATCCCATTCTAATTTCCCTTTGCACCTCTCCTCCATGCCTCATGACACTGGCTCTCCCCTTCTCAGTTCTTTCTCACCTCCCTACCTCACCTAATTTTCCTTATCTTCCATCTCACTGGCTCTCTGGCTACTAGTGTAGCCAGACAGACTAACCCCATATCATCCATCTTATTTGCCTCTCTGAAGCACAGGACAGAGAAGGAGCAATAATATCAGCATAGTCTATGCTGGCTCATCTGATCCTGAGGAGCTGAAAAGAAACAGATATGTGGATAGAGAGCAGTTAAGTCAATAAGCTGGCTTCGAGGCTGCAGCTGGCACCTATGTTGATTCGAACACACACACAGTCCCTGGGAGAGGAATTTCCCACTGAGAAAACAATGTCCCGTACTTCCAATTTAATCATCTCAATTCTCTCTTACAAGTGTAAATTAAGTTCACAACTCCCTTGTAAGAACTGGTCTCACAGCAGACAGACCAGCATCAATTGGCATTACAGACAAGAAAGAGAAATACTGTCCCCATGGGTATATAAGATGGGCCCAGCACACACTCACTTTGAGTGTCATTCTACCCTCTACCTGCTGGTCGGGTTAGGTGTTTGACCTCCCGAGGTTCTATGGGGACGCCCACCTCGTATTTTCGTCTTTCCTAGGAATTGAGGGACCGGCCCTGGCCTGACATGCTGGAGTCGAGAGGCACAGAAGGGGGTAAAAATTGTACCTGGATGTGGTCCTCTGTCTTAAGTGTACACATAGAAAGAGTAAGCTGTTACTTGGTACCATTATTTCTATTTTTCTATCTTTATCCTCTTTATAACCATTTTTAAGATCTATATTTTGCTAGCAGTTAAGAAATAGAACAATAGCCATTGCAACCATATGATTTATAAGCTTCTTCAAATAAATCTGTAACTGTTTAAGTTTTAACCTGACTCCTTCAGTTGCTGTAACAGAACCAGGCACAATTTAAAAGAACTTCAGCCGGTCTTAAGGGACAGATATAGGGAGCCCTGACCGTCGGCTGACAACTAGGTACAGTACTTCTCTTCTGCTGTCCAAACTGGTCCTGGAGCCTGGGAATGGCACCAGCGCATACACAGCCACACAAACAGGCACTGAGCACCATACCTCTGGACACATGCAAGGCAGTTAGTGCAGAGCTCTCGTAAGATAAATGTGTGTTGATCCCATGAGTGGGAAGTTTAGTCTTCAGTCATGAGTTAACCCAGAGTCACGTGTATTCTTCAGTTTCATGGCTATGCCATTTAGCCCTGGTCTACACCCAAAAATGAGACTGACCAAGCTCAGGACTGTGAAAAATATCCAACTTTGTGAGACATGGGTGGAATGATCTAACCTCAGGAATCAAGTTACAGGTAGGTCAACAGAAGCATCTGTCGAGCTTGCTACTGCTTCTCGGAGAGGAGGCTTAACAGGAAAACCGCTTTCTCTGATGTGGGAAATGTCCGCACCGTAGCAGCATAGCTACAATGCTGTTGCTGTGCTGCTCCCACAGGGCTGTAGCCATAGGGTGAGATCCACTCTAGAAAAGAGAGGACTTTGGAAATGTGACCTGACTGGGTAGCATCAAATTAATAAACCCGTTTATTACCTGGGCTCACTGGGCGGTGGAGAAAATCCGTCAGGGGTCAGATCGGCACTTTCACCTGTACAAACAAATGGTGCATGGAGAAGGGTCAGTGAAGCTGGTATGGGACCTCTTAGCACCTGGCTTTTAACATACTGGATCTGCAGCAAACCAGCTGTTGTAGCACAAATGGACCATGGCATTTACATAGTATGTTGGCCGGGGGGGGGGGGGTCTGAAAGAGAGAGATTGAGAGTTCCTGCTGTAGGGTACTCAAACAGGGGAATTTTCAAAGTAGAAGTGCATAGTGCTTTGTCTTTGACTATCTTAGTCTTGGGTACCCAAACTGACTCAGGGCTCAGCTAAGCATGGATTGGGTCATTTTCTCTGAGGCTGTGTCTATACTGGCATGAATTTCCGGAAATGCTTAAAACAGAATAGTTTTCGTTATAAGTATTTCCGGAAAAAGAGCGTCTACATTGGCAGGCTGCTTTTCCGGAAAAGTCCTTTTTCTGGAAAAGCATCTGTGGCCAATGTAGACGCGCTTTTCCGGAAAAGAGCCCCGATCGCCATTTTCGCATTTGGGGCTTTTTTCCGGAAAAGACTACTGGGCTGTCTACACTGGCCCTTTTCCGGAACAGTGTTCCAGAATAAGGACTTATGCCCGAGCAGGAACAGAATAGTTTTTCCGGAATAGCGGCTGATTTTGTACAGTAGAGCATCGTTGCTTTTCCGGAAATTCAAGGGCCAGTGTAGACAGCTCGCAGCTTATTCTGGAAAAGCGGCTGATTTTCTGGAATAAGTGGCCCAGTGTAGACACAGCCCCCGACAATGGCCACATTGGAAGACAGGATACTGGGCTAGATGGACCTTTGATCTGGCTCAGTCTGGCTGTTCTTATACCAAGCTGTGTATCTGCTTAGAATGGGATAGCCCAGTGTGTGGGCATTCGGACTCAGGTATAAGAAGTTCTTTTTCAGTTAAGTTATGTCTCTTGGGAAGCAGTTAAAGGCCATGATTGTGCTGAAATAAGAGCATCCCTTTGGGGACTTACACTGTACAATACAAGTCTGCCACATAGATGTCAATGCTTTCCCCATCCACCCCAAAGCCTCAAAATCCTGTGCATGGGCACCTGGGGTTGCTGGGACAGTCGCCTCTCTGGGGCCTCTGAACTCCTAGGAGCAGTAGATGGAGATGTCTAAACCATGGTCTAAGCCCAGGGAGTTATTTTGAAATAACAAGCGGCGTGTTTGGTCGTACGTACTCGGGTTATTTTGAAATAATACCTCCTGCTTTCCACGAGGAATAATGCTATTTCAAAATAAAAATAGCGGTAATGTGCTATTTCGAAATAACTGCTCCCCAGAGTCATTCAAAGTACTTACTCCCCAGTACTTCCTGGGGCTCTAAGTCAAGGCAGCATATCCAAGGGGAGCCTGTCTTGGACTAATTTTGAGGCTTTCCTGTAGTGTAGACATGCTGTTTCCAAATAGTTATTTCAGGAGTTATTCTTTTTAAATAAGTTATTTGGAAATAATGGCCTGGTGTAGACATGCCATAACAGTGCTAATACTGCACCTCTTCACCATGCTTTGCAATCTCAGACACAGGTGGTATTTGGGCCCTCACTGAGGGGCTCAAGCAGTCAAGAGGGGGGGCTCCAGAGTTGGTGTTTGGCCACATTTGATCTGTCTGGCCTCTATCCTCCCTGCTCCAGGTGGCCAGGCATGCCGGATCAGGTCCCCAGATGCACACAATGGGGGGAAGGGTATCACATTTGCACACTCACTTTGTAGTGGATGGTGAGCTCCTCGAGGTCTGTGCTCTAAAGAGCTGTCTAGTGAGCCATGGCCACCATTTTATTTGCAGTGCTAGATACAAGACATTTCATAACCCCGCTCCAGTCCGGAATACATACCTGCTTTAAGGGGGGGACTTGCTGGTAGCTGGGAAGCAGGTGTTAATAGAATTTCTTTTCCTTTGCCTATTGGCCCAACTGCTTCTACATCGTCATATATCTCCTCTTGGTCACTAGGGCAGTGGAGAAAATAGAATTAGGAAGCTGGTCTATGGTGGGTGTGATTGCAGCATGTTTAACAGACAGTCACAAACAACAGTATTGCAAGATGGTGGCCAAAGCGTGCCCAGCATTGTCACGGTATCTGTTTAGGGTAAGATAGCCTAGGCAGCAGGGCTAGGAATATGGGATGCTGTAACCAGTGTGATTCGGGGCTGCAGGCCAGTCCATCACTTTGCAGAGTGCTTTGCAAAGGCCAGGCAATGCTGGGCCTCGCTTATAAAAGTGAAACAACAGGGTGAGCTCTACACAGCAGGTTTCAAAATTCTCCAGTGTCCCTGTACCTAAACTTGTCACATGGGATACCTCGGGCTCTTGCAGTCCTCCAGGCACTCCCATTGATTTCATTTGGCAGTGATGGTGCTCAACACCACAGAGGAATCACACCCAGAGGCCCAATTCACCTCTGCCCTGCAGCTTGTGCACTGAGTGGTCTAGTGTGAAACACTATTGTGAAACACCCATATCAGAATGGCAGCACTGAGCTCTGGTGAGAATGACAGCCAACAGGGAACCCAACCTGAGGAGTGGGGGGCTCACACTGGGCACCCAGAAACTGCTGCAGGCAAAAACTCAATGACATTCCTGAAAATGCTGCCATCTATCACCAGCTCCAACCCTTGGTTGGCAGCAGCCCATCCCATAGCTGGGGGTGTAAAGCGAGAATTAGAAAGAAATTACCATCTCGGGACTTCTCTTGCTGAACTCGGGACGTGAGGAGACAGAGCATTCTGAGTTGAAAGTCGGACTGGGGAAGCCACAGCATGATGTGGTTTCAGGTGACCTATGGCAAAGGCTGGGGGGGTGAGAAGAAGGGAAAGCCAGTTCACCCGTTTTCTGGGTTTGATAGGGCAAAGTGAGCCCCCAACCTACCACAACATTTACTTTTACATTCCATATCTGGCCCAGATTATTTTCTGTGCAGGGTAAACTAGAGCAAGTTTTCCCTTCACCACTGGAGAGAGCCAGGAAAGCAGGAGAAGAAAAATGGCCGTGGGAAGGGAGATGTGGTCTGTGCCCAAAGACCAGTCAAGGGCTTTTGCATAGTCCCATGGCTGAGGCAGTGCTGTGGTCTCCTAATCATCTGCCTCGCCCATCACCTGGCTGTGTTCCCACCTGGTCACTGCTCCTAGGAACACCATTCACCCAATTCACCCCGGCTGAACAACAATGACTTTCGCTGACTTGGACAAACAACAATACACACAAAACGCCTCAGCATGGCAAGGAGCTTCCAAGTGAAAGGTTCCATCTTGGGTTCAGTGGCTAGCTAATTCCACGTGGAGCTGCATCCCACAGACATGTCTTTAGAAAGCATTGTCAACCCAAGCAACGAAAAACCATGAATCAGGGCCCCATCCCCCCAAAAAACCTTGAGATTGGCTTAAAAATCAAAAGCTTTAAATAATACAAAGTAATACATCTGGGCGTTCTTCTTATTCCTGTTTGTTACTCTTGGAAGTGACGCTCTGACTGCGTTCTCAAGCTTTCCTCAAAAACTAGAAAGTTTCTTTTCCTTTTAAATGCAAGCAGAGATTTGTGTGTGTTCACATTACTAAATACAACACTACTCGTGAGATAAAATTGTGAGTTTTTGAACACTGCATTTCAGTCCATCAAGCTGCAGGTGCCCAGATTTCCCCCACCCCTCACACTCCATCCATCACTGCTTCCATCAGCCCGAATTGCCCCTCTCCATTGGCCCTGGGTGAAGAAGAGAAAAGGCAACTGAGAAAGGCCTTATGTGTCCTAGAAAGAATTTGCTAGCATAGCTATGTCAGCAAACCTGGGTGTAAAGATCAGTGAGAGAACCTAGTGGCTGGAGGAAGCTGTGTATAACAGCACATACAGTCTTCCAGAGGTGCATGATCAAAATGAAAAAAAAACTGCCTCCGTGCCAGGCCCCCAAAGGTTAATCTGGCTCTATCCAAAGCTGGTGATAAAACCATGTACAAAAAACCCCACTGACGACACAGGATGCAAAACAAGGTTAATTTGGATGAGCGGAAAAGAGACCAGTGCAGCTGATGCCTCCATAGTCAGTTGCATAGGTGCAGCTAGAATATCAGAAAACCAGCTGAGCCAAGCATGGGTTCTGGGCCTGGCAAGCAGCCAGGTAAGGAAATTCTGTCTGAGAGAGGACTGTCGTGTGACAGTTGCCAGTTATTGATATGAAAACTGTGCCAGTTACTGACAAGAGGGAAACGCAGCTTTGCAACAGTGTGGAGCCCAACTAAGGTTATGTGATGAGTCTTATCGCTGAGATGCGGTACTGTACTAAGAAGTACAGAGAGGAGCTGCGCTTTGAAGTGATAAAAGCTGAAATTATTGTAAGGAAATTATTCTAATTCCAGCGAATGGGGAGTCCGTCTGCAAGACTTCTCGGAGTGAAAAATGTGCCAGCAATGCAGGAGAAAAGTGTGGCTGACAAGGATTCTCAGAGGGGCTCCCTGTTGACATTCATGAGAATGTGGTTTGGTTCCCTGCTTCCCCCACATTTTGCACAAGTCACTCACTCTCTCTTTGCCTCCCTTCCCCATCCAGACACAGGGTGGAGCAGCATTGCTCTACCTCAGGGGACGTAGAAAGGATAAAGAAATGAATAATTGCAAGGCCCTCAGATGTTATGGCAATGGAGGGACTGTGCTCTTTGGAGGAGGGGGTGACAGAATCGGGGGCTGGGAGGGCCATGGCCCGTGCGCTTTTTAAAATACAAAGGCTGCACCTGTCTACTTTTTAGGCAGGTGTGGATTGGTAGCAGGGGCTGCACTTCACAGTGGGAAAGCTGATAAATTGTGCTACATACCCGGAGTGCCCGGGGGGGGGGGGGGGGAGACACGACAGAGACATGGGCTCAAGGCACCACAGTCCTGCCCCATGCAAGCCCAGGGTAGCTCTTCTCTGGCTTCCAGACTGGTGGGGGGCAGTGCCCTGGGGAAAGAGGGAAGCTATGGCACCAGTGTCCACTTCGACAGGCTCTGGTGCTCCTGCCCCAAGCTTAAGACAGTCGAACACAAATTGGCAAAAGGGCCCAGTATCCACCATTCAGAGCAGCACAAAGAACAACGAAGACCCCAGCAACTTTTAGAATAAGGGGCTGGTGAAAAGAGCTGGGACCAGCAGGGCAGTGACATTATGCCAGTTGCAGGGCTGCTTCTACCCTGAAGAGCACTATGCCCTGCCTAGCAGGAGAGACACAATTGAGCAAGCACAAGAGTTTTCCATTAGTAATACCAATGGGGGCCTGGACTCGTCAAGCTGGACACATCAAGCGAGAATGTGACAGCTGGCTGGGCTCAGCTTGACTGCTCCTGCTGGTTCCAAGTGCCCTTCATACTTCCACCTGTTCCACAATAGTGTCCGAGTGCATTGGGGCTGGGGGTTGTTCTTGGTGAGTTGCTGCCAGCTCTAGAGAAGTTTCTGAAGTCCCAAAGCCAATCTATGCATAAGCAGCTCTCTCCAGCTCGGTGGTGATTTCCGTCACGACAAAGGCCTAACTAGCTAGAACTTGCCTTCCATTTCCTGTAGGGGAAACAAATCAGTCATTGCTAAATCCTCACTCATTTCCTGCATCGTCTCATTTGGATTGAATGGATTAAATTCCTCCCATCCCACTACATTTATAAAACCTTCCTCTTCTGTGCCAGAACCTCATCTAGCCCTGTGTACAAGAACCTGATTCAGCAGCTTTTCCTTCCTTTCCTGCCTGATTCTTCTCTCATGGCTCCATTCGCTTCCAGCTGCCTGGAGGTTTTTCATGTGCCACAAGTGCTCCTGGACATACCGTGCTGCCTGCCTCGCAGGGGCTCTGGCGCAGGAGACGCATGTGTTCTGATGGCTGCAGCCTTCCAGAACCTCTGTAGATCCACCATAGGAGGGCGCTGAGGTTTCATTGGCTTTTGTCCTAGTACACCTGCCTGTGGCAATGGCTTTTTCTTAGGAGCCATCTGCCATTTCTCTGATATGCTTCTTGAACTGTCCAGTAGAGATGGGCTATCTGTCCTTTTGGCAGGTACCAGCACGGCCTCAATCACGCCTGGATTCCTAGCATGCTTGATCAGTGGCCGGCTCTGCTGAGTCTGGCTTCTCTGAGGGCCGTTTGATTTGCTCCTCGTGCCCTTTTGTTCACAGGGTGCTGCTCTTATTCCAGTTTGCAGACAGGCCTGGTGGAGGCTTGAGTCCATAGCATTTCTATCCTTGGCGTTAGCCGCCCACGCTGCATCTTCGAAAAAGGGCCTCCAGACTGGAACATCATCCTGAAATAAAGGAGCATTTTTCAAACCCAATCTCCTAGTTTGGGTTAATTGAGTGGATTGGTCGCTCTCTGATGCATGTGATTCTTGTTTTGCAGGCGAGGCTGCCAGCTGACTCCCTGACCTGTCACTAATTTCAGGGAAATCTTGCCTGGTCCCTTGGAACTTGGCCTGTAAGCCCTTAACACGTTCTCTCTCCTAGGACAGAGCAGACAACATACATCTGTGAGTCTGAGGATTCCGCACGGGTTTAGGCAACGTAAATGGCCATGGAGTAAAATTAATTAAAACCAAAAACATGTTATATCCTGCCTGGAAAATGATCACTCTTCGTATTAGAGTATTAACTAGATGCCTGTAACCGGTGTGAAGAGCCTACTGCCTGGATTGTTGCCACAACTGTTGCAAGTCTTCACTACATTTTATACAAAGTGTGCCAAGTGAGAGGTCTATAAAAAGCTTATGATTCATTGATTGTTTATAATAAGCGTGTGGATGTGTAATTTTGTATTTGAAGTTGTTTCCCAGGGTGTTCTTGTGACTGGTTCGGTGCCTTATAATGTAGGACATACATACCCTGTCTTGGGGGTGGGGAGCCCAGTCTAAGCAATTCCCCCTGATGTGACTCTCTGAACACTGCCTCCCCAGTACTGTCTGTATTACACAGCTCAAACAGATATAAGCGCCCTAGAGCAGCTGTGGAGCTGCTGGACCTCCATGCTGATGGCCCTGGCGGAATGAGCTCAGGGGTGAGACTACTGTTTTCTGGGGAGGAGGACAAAGATAAGCATCCATTCCCAAACAGAAACACTTGATCCTCCCTCCCCCCAGCCAATTTTCTCTTGTGATTTCCTGCCTGCATCAAGCCCAGCAGTTTACCTTGGAACAAGACCTGGTTTGTTTAGGGTTGCAGTGTGTCAGGCTTCTGGCCTGGACCCTAAAATGGCTATATTTTAGTGCTGAGTGAAAGGGGATCCCTGCAGCTGCCAATTTTGTTTGTGCCTGGAGGCTTCATCACATGACAATCTTAAATTAACGATTATGGCTTAATTCCTTGAAGACTCCACCACAATTCTGGAAGGTTTGCAAGCACAGTGATCTCTTCATCTGGTTTACATCTCATACTGCAAAGCCGTTGGAGACTCTTTGGTGTTCCTTTATGCACCGCATGAAGGTCTGGACCATGGTGATGTTCTGCACAGATCTTTTTGCTGCTCCTCTGACCTTATCTCGGTCTTGCCGAATCCAGCAAGCAACGAATAAGACCCTCCATTTTGCCCTACATAACGGAGGTATTGATCCTGCCCTCTACTTGTGCCCCAGCTCCCTCCTCGTGCTCAGCACAGCTCAGTAAATTACTCACCATTTTCTGTCACCGGATGCTTGCTTCCCTCCTCCCTGCACTTCCATGGAGAATCAAAAGTCCTCACGCAGAATTGCTTGTGGACGTTTGGGATCCAGCATTCGTCAAGAGCACAGTCACTGGCTCTTACTGCATCTCTAGAAACCAAAAGCTTTTGATGGGTGTAGGGCAAACAGCCAACCACAGGAAGTAATGCTGGGCTGTATGTAAGGCAGTGGGGGCGGGGAGACGCTCTTTCTGACCTAGCTGCAGTGCCAGATTGCTAACCCGCACCAGCTAACACAGTCCAGCTGACATAGAGATAGCTTTGGGGACTACAGCTGAGCATTTTTTTTCCACAGAAAATAGAAATGTCACCCCAAAAACTATTTGCAAATTTCAGTTAACCTCGGCAAAGCGCTTATCTGAACAGCCCCTCCCCAAATGCGCATCATTGTAAATGTCGTGTTGATGGGCTTAGAACAAAGACTTTCAGATGATGACATGTAGGTTAACTCCGCCTACCTAATGGTTTACTGGACCTGAATTATTTATTTGTGTCAAGAAAAACAAATGAAAATTCTGGGTTGGTGGGAGTGTGACTAACCAAATCTTCTCTGGCTGTTCCAGTTCGACCACCAACCCTCCCCTCACATTTGGGTGGGCGGACTGGTGCTCTGCCGGCGAGCTGCCCACTCACCTCTGCAAACAGTGGGCCTTGACCTAGCTGCCCAAGAAAGAGCCTCTGCTGAGTAGTGAAGGGGCTCGGCCAGTTTCCTTGCCGACAAGCACCAGGCAGGCAGCACGAAGCCAGGAATACATGCCAGCAGGTGACGTTAATGCTTAATGAACCCTTCTACTCCCCACTAGGTGAAACAGAAACAGCTCCCTCTGTGGCCCTGTTGTGTGCTGATGTTACACAGTTGCGTGGTGCCCTTCTGACACGGTTAGTACTCTTAACCTTGTCCTCGTGTTGGGTCGATCAAAACATTGGCATCCCTCACCCGGTCGTTCTACTGTCTCCTTAGCCAGGGTTACAGTAGAGGGGAGTGTGCTTCTAGCAGCTTGTCCTGGACTGTTTCGTGTGAACGTCCAGCAAATGTGCTGTAGAACGTGCCACGGGGAATAACTCTTATGTGATGCAAGATACGCATTTCTGTAAAAAAGTGTCTCCGAACCAACAATTTTCATATGGGCGAACACTTGCGCAATGCTGTAAAATCTAGCCCACGTCTCTAACTCAGATCTGATGCAAGATAAGCATTGCTGGAAAAAAAAAGGTGTCAAAACAAATTCGCATGTCAGGAGACTTTGCAGAGCCCTAGAGAACATGTCCCGGGCTCTAACTCAGATCTGATGTCCAATAAGCTTTCCTGCAATAAGTGTCTCAGAACTGAAATCGACATGTGCGGAGATTGTGGAGCAGCATAACTTGCCCCAGGGTTATGCAAAATAAGCGTCACCGACCGTCTCACCGGCTCTAACTCAGATCTGATGCAAGATTTGCCTTTAAAAAGTGGTTCACAAACGAAAGGGAGAACTGAGGAGTGAACTACAGCGAGCCACATGGGCCTCAGCTCTAATATGCACTTCGGAGAACTATTCTCATGTGAGGGGACTGGAGATGCGCCTAGAGAAGCTGGGGCCGGGCGCTTATAGCTCACCATCTCACTAGGGGCTATGGGCCCAGATGCCAGGCTGATCTCGGGGTCTATCAGCCCCTAGGTGTTCTTTGTCTTGCCTTTCGGCCTCAAGAGAGCTCCTGCCCCCTACCTACTCCTCCGGCTGCTGAACTGGATGGAGAGTTTTGCCCTGACTTACAGTGTGATGGTGAGGTACTAGCGGAGGTGTGTACTCCATGTTAGCTCCATCTCTGCCCCTATCACTTAGCTGTGGAGGAAGGGGAAGTCAGACAAAGTTGGGCTCTCTGCACACTGAAATAAGTCCTGTTGAGCCCTTCATGGTGTTCAGTGACATCTCAGATACTGGGTGGGGGGTGCTGCTAACATGTGTGAATGAAAAGGGGGAGACACATCCCATTTTGTAGCTGAGCCAAAGGCAGCTGTCTCCAGGACCAGAACCGGGCTCTGGTGTGAGTCGTTAGAAAACTGTAGATCTATCTATTTGGGACCAACCACGCTCCCCTGATCTGGCTGCAATAGATGACAAGGTGCTGGCACAGAGCGTACTCCTGCAGGATTATGACATGGAACCGGTCCATGTTAAGGGGAGCACTAATGTCTTCACCTATGATCGATGGGTTTCAACTCACTGGCTAAGTGACCCTGTTTGGGCTCAAAAGGGGGAGGAGAGAAATGTGAGCAGCACACTTCTGGGATTGTGTTCACTATGGTTGTTTTGTTGTGATGTGTGTGATTGCTACTGTCCCGTGAGAGAATGAAGCCCCTGAGCCGGAGTCTGTGGGGGGGGGAGGTGACCAGGTGACACCTTTTGCCTGGGAAGCCAGACAAAGGGGGAGGCGGGGCTGGCTGCAGACCAGGACAGATTTGAGGTTCTAGGAGGGGTTGGAGCAGGCTGGGGAAACACAGCCCAGGGCCCCTAACCAAGATAGGGTGTGCTGACTGCTCCTGTGGTCCTGTGCTAGCTGAAGACCTGTGAACCAATAAACCTTCTGCCAATAAGGTGCTGGCTGAGAGTCACATCTGGCTGTGGAAAGGGGGAGGAGTTCAGGGCCCAGTGGCTCCCTCACACCCGGTAACAGGGGCGATTTGAGGAGGATGGTCGTGGAACTTCACTTGAAATCAAAATATCAGAAGATTTCAGGTTTGGTTTGGAAAGTGTCTTCCATGGGCATGATCAAATAGCAGAGCCTGACTGCTTGCCAGGACACTCAGGGGTGGGGGGTTGGCGTCCAAGCAGAGGTGCTGGCAGAAGGAGGAGGGGCAGTTGTGGAGGCCAGACTACCTGTGGGGTTGGCAGTGAATGGGTCCGCACCCAACTGGACCCCAGCAGTCCCATACACCTCCTTGGACTGAGCTAGGAGACAGTCCCTCCGGACATGCCCTGTTACCAGGCAGAGGGTGCACTGGACCTCCTCCGAGGAGTATTGTACTCGGCAAAGGGCTCCCTGGTAGGGCACCAGGAAGGAATCCCTTAAGTGCCACCTCACGATTTGCTGGTGGTGGCATTTGCAGCTACATGTGCTGGTGAAAGGACAGGATGTAATGAAGGGTGGGGTCCTTGCTGAGGATGGCTAAGGGCAGATCTGGGTTTCCCCAGGGTGGAGAGGACAGGCAGGAGGGCTACAAGGGGAGGAAGGGAGGGACCCAAGGCTAGGACCACCCATATGCCCAAGTCTACTAGTGGCTAAAGGGGCACGTGCATGCTCCACTGCCTCCTGGATGGTGGCCTCAAAGAAAGGAAGAAAATGATTAGTCCACTTATTCTGGAGGCTGCCACCGTGGCTGAGAACCCAACCACCCTCGCAAATGCCTGCGCCAACTTTCCCTATGGAGCGAGGCAGGGACGGGGAGGCAGGGATGCTGGTCAAGGTGAAGAAGGCGTCTTGGCCACGAGGGATGGAGCTGGAGAGGATGGCTGGGGCTGAGTGCACTGCGGCAGGTGGAGGAAGCAGTGGTGGACACCATGACTTACATTCTGGAGGCTGCAGGTGAAAAGCCACCAAGGCTGGTGGGGGGTGAAGACAGGGGAAGAAGGGCTCATGGTGGGTATCAGAGCTGCAGCAGACAGGGCAGTTCTGGCCTTCTGGTCCAGGGCTTTGCCTTTTTTCTTTCTACTATCCGAGGCAGATGCTCCTTGAGAATCTGAGGGAGTGCCAGCCATGGCAGTGGCACAATCTGGACCGGGGGTCGGGAGGTCACCCGCACAGATTTTTGGCTGAGTTTGCGGTCATTAGGCATGGGGGAAGGAGCAGGGATGGAGGAGGCACAGATGGAGGGCAAGCTGGGAAGAGGTCAGCCAGTCTTCCCCACCAAGCATCAGGGAAAGGAGAAGCAATGGAAGGGTAGGAGAGGAAAGGGGGTGGGCTAACCTCTCCCCCCCAAAGGAACAGAGGCGGGGGCGGAGGGCACTGAATGGGGAACTGAGTGGGAGAGGGACATCAATCACTCCTCCCTGCTAGACTAGGGAAGAGGTCACCAAGGCCCCCTCGGTTCCACTGAGGGGGAACCGAGTGGGGGGAGGGGCAGCAACCACTCCTCTCTGCAAGGCTGGAAGCAGGGGAGGGTCCCAGGAGGAAGGTAGGGGTGGGCTGGAATGGATGTCGGGGAAGGTGGGGAAGCGACCAAGCCCTCCCGCTAGACTAAAGGCCAAGGAGGAGGGTAGCAGGTGGGGGGGTAACTGAGGGAAAGGGGGGGAGCAACCCACCGGCTCTGCTTAGCTGGAGGTGGAGCAGGTTGCTGTAGAAGGAGACAGGGCCAGCGGGGGTGGCCTGAGGGGGAAGCCAAGGAAAGCAACGGCTCTCTCCTGCTCGTTCGTACGCAGGGAGGGAGATCCCCAATGGGGAGAGGATGCCAGTGGGGCACCCAAGGACAAAGAGGGGGCAGCAGACCCGCTCTCCTGGAGGGTGCAAGAGAGAGACTCGGACGTGTTGGGGGCACCGGGAAGGCAAACACTGCTCCCTGGAAAGATGAAGGCAGAGAAGGAGCGAGCCAAGAGAGAGCAGGGCTGCAGGGGGGAGGGGACCAGGGTGCACTGGGCGGTAGACAGAGGTCTAACGGGAGGCTGGGGGAGGGGCCCAGGGTGCACTGGGCGGTAGACAGGGGTCTAACGGGAGGCTCGGGGAGGGGACCAGGGGGCACTGGGCGGTAGACAGAGGTCTAACGGGAGGCTGGGGGAGGGGCCCAGGGTGCACTGGGCGGTAGACAGGGGTCTAACGGGAGGCTCGGGGAGGGGACCAGGGGGCACTGGGCGGTAGACAGAGGTCTAACGGGAGGCTGGGGGAGGGGCCCAGGGTGCACTGGGCGGTAGACAGGGGTCTAACGGGAGGCTCGGGGAGGGGACCAGGGGGCACTGGGCGGTAGACAGAGGTCTAACGGGAGGCTGGGGGAGGGGCCCAGGGTGCACTGGGCGGTAGACAGGGGTCTAACGGGAGGCTCGGGGAGGGGACCAGGGGGCACTGGGCGGTAGACAGAGGTCTAACGGGAGGCTGGGGGAGGGGCCCAGGGTGCACTGGGCG